CCCAAACTTGTGTAACACTTTGGGCTTGTTTCTTTGAAATGTTCAAAGGAAAATTTGAGCATAGGGAAGTACAACCTGACCTGTGTGGGCTGGCTGCTGGACAAGCTCCACCACTGGCACTAGCCAAACAAAGCAAGTAAGTGTATTTACTGCAGCCAGCTTAAACCAGGGCTCTTTCCTATTTAGCTGTAGAGCAGTAAAAAGCTTCTGTACAAGGACAAGCTTCTGGCACTTGGTCAGCATCAACTGACACCATTTCACCTGTTTAGGGATGGGTGGTTGGATGTCTGAAGAACAGGGCCCAAATGAAGGCACACAGGGAATTCAGTCATCCTGAAGTAGCCTGTTCATTTCTGAAAATATAATGCTCTTCAGAGCAAGGATTTGGATGTCCTGGTATCTCTGGAAGTCTACCATGTTTACAATGTATGTGGAAGGTTAATTTAATGGGTAGCTAATGTTGGGCTGGCAGAGCTCCTTCATTTCAAGCCTCTTTCCAGTGTACCAAATGTTTCTGGTTTGCCTTAGGAAGATCACTTTGGGTGGCAAGGGTTGCTGAACAGGTGGACATACAGTTGTTGGACTTTGCAACAGCTTTTGACAGAAACATTGTAGCAGGACAGTTTGCCATTTTCAGATAGCTGTATCTTGCACTGGGAACCAGATAGAATGGGACCAACACAAACTCAATTTGCTCACTTTCATCCTGGGATGAATTAAAAAACTGTCAGAACAGCAGGCGTGGGAATTAAAAAAAAACCAAAACAAAACACATTAGAATCAACAGTTCTGTTGGTCTCCCCCTTTCTAACAGAAATCCCTCTCTACATGAATGACATCAACTTGTCTGCTTTGGTCTGCACAGCAGGTGCAGTGATTCAATTGTCATTGAAGGGCAGGTTCAACTTCTTAACTCTGGAAGTTGGAACTTCCCCCAAAATAAAAAAATATTGCAATAAGTAAAACGATTTTGTATTTCACTCCCAGTGCAAGATAAGCTCTTGACAAGACTCTAACTCCTCAGGCTGTGGTTTGCTACTACACTGTCTCCAGAGTCAAATGGCAAGGATTTACTCACAAGATAAAAACAAAACAGTGTGAAAACATTTTCCCTTATTCATGTATGATTAAGAAAGTATTGAAAAATATCCTTTCCTATGAATAGTTATTGCTACTACATAAATGATTTGTCTCTAGATGTATGCACAAGCTGAACACAATATGGGAAAATTCTTGCACAATTCCATCCTATCTCATACAAACTGCTCTGTATTTTTCCAGAAACAGTCTAATCTCACTGAAGATAGCTAGAAAGTCAATGTTGCTGGGAACATTTGCATCAAAAGTCCTTGCTTAGCCAACCACAAATAGAAATAATCCCATTCACATGCAGTTAGCAACATGAAGAGCCAAGATTTTGATGCTAAAGGCCAATGAGTTACGTGAATTTTCAGAGTAACAGTTCTAAATGTTTGAATTTTGCTTAAAAGAAATCCTTGTAGGTCATGTTTTAGTGGCCTATGGAAGTGGGATCTTCACCTGGAAGTCCAGATGACACCACCACATGAAAAAAAGCAGATGCCACCAACTATACCAATGGGCAAGGCTTTGAGTCTAGATGGGATTGACTGTCTCAGTCAGATAAGCAGTGCCCTAACTGAGTAACTTTCAAGGCCAGTGAAGAAACAAGGGGAGGATTAACCTCTTGAGACACAGTTGGGTGGTATCATTTCTGTAGAAAGCTTCTGAGGATACCTGCCCTCTGGTATCCTTTCCAAAGGCAAAACAACAAAAATCAAGAAAAATGTTCATAAGACCCACTCTGAGCTATGGATGAGACATTCCCTGTGATAAGGGCATAGTATTGGCCAGGTCAGGAAACCCAGTTGCCAACACTGCAGCCTCCTACTCACTTCATTTGCACTCTGCAATTAAGCACTGGGATACTGTATCTTTAACTGGTGAACAGGCACGGAGAACATGCAGGTGCTCCTACTTCATCCGATTGCTTCTCCTTTTGGCTTCACTGTCGTCCAGCAGTGAAGAGAGGATCTGGTAGGCCTGGGGCTGCTGTGGTCCTCCACGTTTGATCTTGATGCTGGTTCGCAGTGGGGAGCCCGGGATCACATCCTGTCCAGAGCCTGGCTCAATGGAAGACAAAGAGTCTGTAAGGAGAGAAAGTCACGGGAGAGCGCGATTTAACAGGGGAGGCTAAGGAATGAGGACTTGGGCCCTTCTGGGAAGAAGTGTTGTCCCTCCTGTTGTCTTTCCATCTAGCAAGCTACTTGTGGAGCTATGTGTTAGCTGCCACCACACTGCTCCTTTATTAGGTCTTTTCCCCCTGCTCTAAGCTCTTTGGTGTAAGTACTCTCACCATATGTAGCTCAGCAGGGCCTGTTCTCGTTTGTACTTCCATTTATAAAGCTCTTTTATTGCTTAGAATTTTGCTGGGGCCGTTGCTGTGACTCAGCATTGCCCACAGACTCCTGTTCTTGAGGGATGGGGCCAGGTGGTCACTGGGAAGTGGTGCTCCTGTGGGGTTAACTGCCATTTCCCTCCCAGTAAAGGAGAACATTCTGAGGCACTGAAAAGATTGAATAACAGGTTTGATCCATCCAATTAGCAGTAAAGCTGGGAATAACTACCAGCTGTCCATTCTCTCAGCCTGCCTCATGGTAACACACATCTCCTCTTCCTACAGCATCCTGCCCTTCGAGGCTAAATACACATTTGGCTGTGGCCACTCTTCTGTGTTCCTAGCAGTTCCTGGATGCTGATGACTGGATGCTGCCTCATCATTTTTAATGCCTCAGTTTCATTTTCCTTCGGCCTTCAGAGATGGAGGTTTGCCTGTCTCCCTGCCAAGAGCCTAGCCTCATAAGCCAGACACCCAGCCTTGGTTTGATCCCACCAGGCAGCATTTCTGGTTCAAGTGAGCATTTGGCTGCTGAAGGATTTGTGCTGTGCTTGCTGGAAGTAAACACTGCCAAACAATTTGGGCTTTCGTGTGTCCTGCTGGGCTGCTCTCTGCAGTTTGTTAGGCCAGCTCATCTCAGACTGCCCTCCCATTGCAGAGAAGGGGTTTGTTTGCTGGTGTGTTTTGCCTTGTTGCTTGGGTGGCTTTGGTTTTGGAAACCACACTGATTGTGACATTTCTTTGGAAAATGAGAGCATGGGATTGGCATTTCTGTGTGGATCCTTAAGGCTGGGCTGAGTTGGGCTGCCCAGAGAGCTGTGGCACAATCCTTAACACCTACAGAGGCAATGTGACCACATAGTTGGTGCTGGGTGATTTAAACCTGTGTGGTGCCTTTCAGTGCAGGGAAGGATGGACTCAAGAAAAATCTGTTTTGTTACTTTATGTCTTTTTATGTTGTTTGGGTTTTTTTTAAACAATATACATGTACAGGGATGAACATAATTGCACAAGAAAAAGAAAGCTTTACTTTCCAAGTTCTGTTTCTACACAGCATTTTTTAGGGCTTAAAATATGTCTTAAGCTAAAGACTGGAATTATCTCAAAAGCACAGAATAAAAATACAAGCTATCTATACTGTTATTAGATAAAAAAGAAACTATTTATATACAGTCATGCAATATAGGTGTTCAAACATGGCCTTAACTACACTGTACAATTAAAATCCATCCATTTGTACTGGTGCTGTTACACTGGTATATATGGGTGTAAATAACTCATCTTCATCCCAAGAAGTAACAGAAAAGGCATTTATGTCAGTAAAAATGGTTTGCTGAAATGGCTGTTTCAAAATAACAGCACTGCATGCCCTGTTGCTGCTGTACTGCCAAAGAGACAATGGATAAAACAGATAAATTTGGCAGTTCTGCAGGGGCAAAGTTGGATCAATTCCTCAGTCCAAGCCCCAGTGTCTATACAAGCTTCCTGAAGAGCTGACACTTTGCTTTATATTAATATAAATGGAAGTACAAAGTAAAAGACAATGGAAGACCAGACCCTGAGCCCTGTAAATACACTGCACTGTGCCTGTGGACGGGGATCCCCTTCCCCTCTTTCCCAGAGACCAGCTGGGCTGGGCATGGATTGCTGCCTGGGTAGTCTAGTGGGCATTTCCCTGGTACTGCCACCATCTCCAAGCAAAGCAGCAGAATTAATGCAGAGGTAAGGTCAGGGTGACTGTGGTTAAATCATGGGTTCATGATTTCCCAAAAAGCTTAAGCCGGTGCTGCCTGTTGCTTCTGGAAATAGCACCTTGGGCCTCCAAAAGCTACATGGCCACTGAACAATGAAGAGCAGTGCATACCTCGAGGCAGGTCAGCCCTGTGAAGGAGCACCCTGCACTGATACTGCTTTGGCTTTCAGTGCCCAACACATTTTCATTCTAGCAGTGTGCTGGCTTCAGAAGGGGCTCGTGGGATCTCAAGGCGTGTTAAGTCACTTGCTTAGGAACTGCTGGACATTTTAGCTATTTAGAATTTCTCTCAGCTCAGTCAATAGCCAAAGGCCAGTTCGTGACCCGAGTGATTGTCAAGGTGAAGGAAGGTGTGAGCAGCCTGCTTTACAAGTCAGGCCAGGAATGAGATGCCACATGAAACTAGGAAAGAAAAGTGCTATGGGACTTGGTTAAAAAAATGTTCATCTTAGTGCCAAGGAACAGGCTTGCTTCTCACAGGGTGGGATAGTGGATCTGAACAACATTTTGCCTCTACTGTGTGTCCGAAAGGGGAGAAATTGGCACAGCAGCTTGAGAACTGCTCCTCAAGTATCCTAAAGGGAGAAGTCTGATTTGTGGTGATTGCACAAGCCCATACTCTGGTTAAGGGATGGAAACACTCATTAAGGGATGATGCCACACACTGTACTAGTGATGGCAAACAGCCTCAACAGAAAACATGAAATCTATCTGAACGAAGAACATGCGACACTTGCTTTAAATCTGATTGTGCAAGTTATGATCACAATACATTCAGGGGTCACTGGTTCTCAGGGTAACATGCAACATTTTGAGCTTTCTCTGTAACATACAGCGCTACACAAGGCAAGGGCCTCTGGTGTTAAAGTCATTTGGAAGACACGATTAACAGGATTAAATTATCTGGCCTAAAGGCTTGAAAAAAGCAGCTCCCTGAGAAGCTGCTAGATGATCTGTGCCCCATGGCTTGAGCTGCTGCTTGTGACTTGGCTTTCTGAATTGTGATAAAAATTGTTGTGGGGGTCATTTCACCTGCTACTGTAAAGCCAGAGTAACCAATGCAGTTGGGGGAAGCTCTAGGTTCTCAGTAGTTCTAAGCGTCCTTTAAGTCATGTTGCGTACCTAGTTTTGAAAACCTGGTTTAAATTTATTCTAGGCAGAGGGTTTAGACTGTTTAACCACCAAGCAGCTACCTGAGCAGAGCTCCTGTCAAGAAAATAAAATCTTAGCGACACTTACCATGAATTCCTATCATGTGCTCAAGAATTAATACCCTCTCAGCTAAAATCTTCAGAGCTTCTCGAAGTTGTTGAACACCTTCCCCCTGCAAGAAGGAAAAGAAAACTAACATTGATATACATTGCAGCATGGGCTTCTTGTCATAATGGCTCCAGAATGCCAGACTATGTTGTGTGACTATTGAAAAAAAGAAAAGATGTAAAAGGGTTAAGTAGGAATGCAGAAGAAACCCCTCTTTGAAGAAAACCTCCTCAGTTTCACCCCCATGTTTACAGAGCCTCTGACCCAAAGCCAAGACTTTCAGTTTAGTTCCTGCTTCTACAGTGGGCCAAACCCAGGGTGTATATTCCTGTCAAACCTTTACCAACTATGCTGAACTACCTGGAGAACAGGTTTTGCTGTCATCTGATGTTCACTCTGACCATCATTGAGTTACATGGGCTTTCTATTTGTTGGTTCACCAGGAAACTGGGACATGTGTCCAGCATCATCTTGTTGCTCCCTTATAAACTGGAACAGTGGCACACAAGCCCATCCTGATGGGCTTCACAGAGCTCTTGGCTGGGCCACATGCTGCCTGAAACCTGTTCACATACTTTCACATACACTCAAGTTGTAGTTTGTTGCCCCCCCATTGCCTTAGATATGCACTTGAAGGGTCAGACAGGTGTTGAGAAATATTTTAGGGTGGGAGAACAGAGATGCAAGAACTCCAACTCTCCCTCCACACCTGCAGTTTGATCTTTTTGGGAACCTGCCCCAAGCTTGTGGGAGGGACAATGGGGAGTAATTCCCTACCTGGTAGCAGCTCTGTATGGCAGAACAATCACTGAGGCCTCAGAAGGTATTCCGAGAGCACAGAGAGGACAGCTGTCAACATGGCTGAGGAAACCTCAAAGACCAGGACTCCTAGCATGTATTAAGATCAAACCCAAAGTTTAAATAATCTCTTGCTCTGCACTCTTAACTGTGGACAGGCCCCTTGTCCTCCAGAGCCAAGGCCCTCCCTGCCAAAGGGAATATGGTTGAAGTACAGTAAAGAGACAAAAAGGAAAGTAGCACAATAGACATGCATGCTTACATCAGCACCTTTGTCACCTTCCTCACCCTTCTTGCCTGGTTCACCCTAAAACAAACAAGAAAAAGAAATTTGTTTTCATGTGACTGAGGACCCTGTGTCACTTGCATCCCTTACCTCCATGGGAACAATTTGAAGGCAGAAGGTTTTCACCAGCAGAAAACAAACTGACTGGCACTTAAAGCCAAGGAAGGGCCCAAGTGTAAACTTGAGCTCCGTCCTGGCTCTCACCAGCTTCCTAGGAGGTCATCACCATTTCTAACACTGATGAACTTGTCCAGGAGTGGCCAAGCTGCAGGACGGGCTGGCTGCCATGGCCTGGGCCCACAACAAGACTGCATCTCCTGATGATCTCAAAAAGTGGTGCTTCTAGCTCACACTGAGATAACAATACCCTTCCCCTCCCCCCAAACCTGCAGATGTTCCTCTTTGATTTAGAACATAAAATCCTCCATTCTACTTTCATTCATTAGTCACATCACTTTCTGCCTCTGAAGATGCTCTTTAAGCTTTTCTTGAACAAAGATCCCTATGTGCTGTCAATATAGGTCTGATGTTCCCCCTAACCAGGAGTTTCATGCATTTCCCAAAGACCAGATGACATGAAGAGTTAAACCACAAGACAAACATAAAACAAGGGAAAGGGCTAACAAACTGGTGAATAAAACAGAGTGGAAATGGCTGGGCTCCTCAAACTTGTTGGACATCACTGAGATACTTGCAAAGCAGAGCTGGGTGTGGAAGGACTGAAGAAAAGGTTCTATGAATTGTACAAAATTATGAGGTAGGATTAAGGAAGAGAGAAAAGACACCTCCCAGAGGCCCTAGGACCTCTCTGGATGCTGCTAGCCAAAATAAAACCCAACTTTCTCCACTAACTGACAGCCAACCTTCATCTCCACCAGTTTGTCTGCACCCTAGCCACACATGCATCTCCTGTGTGCATCTGTTCTGGTATTGCCAAGAAATCATTTGGATGTGTCTCGATCTCACTAGAGGGTTCCCAGCTCAGCTTGCACAGGAAGGAGTTGAGAGCAGCTGATGTACTTTAGGTTGTTTAACTGTGCCCACCTTTGGGCTCTACTAGTGCAGGAACCTCACAGGGCAGGGAGAGGTTTGGCTGGAGGGGCTCTGCAAGTAAAGCACATCTCTTGTGTTGGTGTGACACCTTCCTGGTCACAGCATTTCAGCACTGTGCTTCACATGCAGGAAGACCATTTCATTGCAGAGGAATATGTTATGGTTGCCTATTGAACACATGTCCAAGATGGAGGCAATTGAGCATTGCCTCAGAGAGAGCTGGCTGAACCAGCTGCAGTCCAGCTAGGTGGCATTCATGGTGCCAAGCAGGCACCAAACCATCTGAGTCTGGCACACACCCACAAGTACAGCACTTACAGGAAATCCCTTCATGCCCCTCTCTCCAGTCAGACCTGCTTGCCCCTGTTGGAAATAAAGTAAGTGTCATTAGGAGGTTTTTCCATTTGACAAAAACATAGTGTAATTTTTACTAGTGGAATTAAGAAGGCTTAATGAAAAACCCTACATTTGAGATAATATTAAAAAAAAATTCCTTTCCCTTGACATTATCACTTGGAGACAGCAAATGGGGGGGTCATGGTTTGCTGTCAAGTATCAGCTCCAAATCCCATCACACTTTGGAAAAGTTTGGTTTGATCCAGAGCTGCTCAGCTCAGTACCCTCTCAGTAACATGATTAGCTATTTCTTAAAATTTACAGCAGTCAGTTACATTATACCAGGAAGGAATTTGGCTGCAGATTTATTTCTTACAAAGATACTGCATTCTTCTCTCTAGCAAAATGGATGGGCTGATGCTGCCCCAGACAGCAAACAGAGCCCAGGACTCCCACAGAGCACTGATTTAATCTGCCTCCTGCTCCACACACAGCCCTGTGCTCACCCCAACAGCTACTGATCAAAACACACCTACAAGATTTTTCTTTTTCACGCTGTGCTAATTTTCACATTGTTCTCAGTGGGGTTTTTTGGGATGGGGTTTTTTGGTGTTGTTTTAAATAGGAATATTTTAAGCAGAATGAAATGCCATCAAACTTAAACTGGGATACCCATCAAACTGGGTATCTTTTTCTCCCCCATTTTCCTCAGCAGCATTTGTTTCCCAACCCAGAGCAGGCTGGGGCAGGAAGAAGCAAAATTTAAAAGCATCTTTAGAAATCCATTGATGAAACAGCCACATATTTAACCTGGCTGTTCTCCCCTAGACATAGACAGAAATAAACCCATCCCTTTTCTCCCCCAAAAAACTACCTTGCTGACAGCAGCTTTTTGTCGTATTTGCTGGGAGGGGGGAGCTGCTTTATTACTATGTCCATCAAACTGCTCCTTTGTATAAAAAAAAGCAAACCAAAAATAAAACAGGCCTTGGGCATCTAAAAATCTAGGAGAGACCACGGAGAACTGGGCAGTGCTAGGGAGGAGTTGGCCAGTATGAGACAAAGGCCTGTAGGGACATGGAGAGCACTGGGAGGAAGGCCCAGTTTGTCAGGTGCTCTGAGCATCTGCAAATGATCTGAGATTCTGCAGTGGAGGAAGGCCTGGGAAAAAGCACAGGCAAGAGGCAAATCACAGTCAGGACACACAGCAATGCACTCAAAATACATAAACAGAATGTTCTCTATGTCCAGGAGGAACAGAAAGGATGTTAAAGCTTAAAGGGGATCAAAGGATATTGAGGCTGGATGACAGAGTATCTTTCATCCCAGGCCCTTGCTGGCTGTACCTCTGCAGCCTGCCTGGGGGTGGTGTGCTGCAGCCTCACTGCCACTGCGTAAGAACGGGCAAAGGCTGCTGGTGAGAGGCACAGATAGAGATGTGCCATCCAGGGGATGTGCTCAGCCTGCTTCAGGTCTCTGCTACATGTGCTTTCTCTGAGGTTCAGCAAGAAGGTGTAATAACGTTTTCTTGAATCTCAGCCGATACTATAAACCCTCCTCTGCTTTTCTTTCCAGCTGCACAGCTCCTCTGCCCTGGGTAAAGCTAGCCCTAATTTGTATGCACCAAACCCAAAATTGCAGCATGTAGTTGTCAAAACCAGCATTCAAATCCACACTCACACAAGACAAAAAGCTCATAGGACATCAGACAGAAATTCTGCCAGAAAAAGCACTCGGCTTCACTTTCTGTGCTAGCAAAGGAAGGGCAGGAATTTCAATCTGTTTTTTCTGTTTAGCAAGACATTTTGAGAGTTGAAAATCTTATTTGTCCCAAATCTAGAAGGAGGGATATGATTCTGAATATCTAACTGTGAGGGAACAAAATCAAGTCTAAAGGATTTCTCTGTACTGAATGGGCAAAGTGCAACAAAGCTTTTGTTTCACAAGAAGTATAGTCTTAGCAGTATGGTCAACCACAAACCAAAGCAAAATGTTATATGAATCACTGAGGAAGAGTTCTTATCAATTTCCTGGATGGAAACTTGACACTTTGCCATACACCATGTCAGGTTTTTTGTTTTTTTTAACAGGAAATTCACATTTAATGGCAATAAGTTGCAGCCAGTTGTGCAGAAGACTCATCAGTTAAGGTTTTGGTCTCTGTCAGAATCTTGAATACTAGTCCCAGAAATAAATCAGTTTGTAGTCTATTAGCAAGGCTATCAAATGCCCAAAGTGGCTGATCTGCACAAGGAAACTTATTAAAAAATTACTAGCAGTCACTCAAAATGGTCTTTTAGAGAGCTGGAAGTGATTTCTTATGTAAAAACAGCAACCAAGCACCCAAAACAATGTGCAAGGATACTAAAGGGGAGCTTTTAAAAATAATTTGTTCTCAGTCCTCAGATATCCCTTGCTCCTTGGCATGAGGAGCCTCAGGAGAGGATGTCACAAACCACCTGGACTTGCTCTCCTTGCACACTGTCTGGGCAGAGAAACACAGTTTAAGTCTATTGCTGGTTATTCTAATTAATTTGGGAAGTTGGAGTTAACCAATTTGCATTTCTCTTTCTCATCCCTTTCAGACATACCCCCCCCCCCCTCCCCTGTCTTTTGGATTGGAAGAGTGAGCAGAAATGAAGAGGACACTATCATATGGGGGAAGCACATCATCCACAGCCACCCATTTACAGGTAGGGACCTCCACATTCACCTCCATCTATGTACTGGTAAAAGAGGCACTTGGAAGAAAAGGGAACTGGTTTCCTACAGCTGTGGCACAAGGCTCTGTCAGTGCAGCCACCACTGCAGACGTCTGTCATTTTAGAGGTACCAACCAATGTTGTTCTCCTTTTTTTTTCTTCCTTTCTTTGACTCTGCTTCACACTAGGTTCTTTGTTGTGGTCCACAGTCCATCTGTGCCCACTTCTACATTTTTCAGATCTAATTGCTCAGTGATCCTCCACCATATACTACATTCTGAAATGATTTGGTACTCCTAGTGTCTCTCAGGAGATTTCAAAGGTAGCCTTTTGAAGAGTAAGCTGAACAGAAGGAGCTGAAAGCCTTTGAAACCCTTCCTGCTGCTTGAATGTTGGACTGGGAATCAGCCACAGTTATATCCCTGCTAGATTTTTCTCTGGTAATTCCTAAGCTTCACCAAATAACATTCCAACTGCCCTGTCTATGTTTAATTATTAGCACTTGACAACCCACTGAGGACTGAGGGAGAGCACATAAACATACCAAGAACATCATTCCAATATCCTAGAGGATATATTAAGAACATCATTTGACCTGGGGAACAGCTTTGGTTCAGGAAAAGTCTGATGAGCTTTTACTGCCTTATTGCCACAAAAGAAAGAGTTCAGTTAGACCACCCAAAATACTCCATGCTAGCAAGCTTGGGTTGGCAGAAGAAAGTTGGTTTCCACAAGCCTTTAAATACCAGGTATTTGCTACCTGAATATCTTCAGGGAACACCAGACTTTGCAAGCAATTCAACCCTCTATCTGTGCAGTAAGCCAGTATCTTGGTCCTAGCATAAGACCTAGAAACTCTACATTTAACATTGTTCATGGCTGTAGTCCCACAGAATTTGAAAGACCTCTGTTGTATATGTAATTCCTGAGGCATCACACCCCAGTGTTGGTGGGAATCCCTCTGTGCATGTAAAACCTTACTCTCTCTCCTCGGTCTCCCTTGGAACCTTTTGGCCCGGGCTGTCCTGGAGAGCCTGGTAAGCCCTAGAAGAGATGCAGAACAAGAAAGAATTAATTTCTACCCTGCATCTTGTGTGTAGGTGTAGTGAATACATTTCTTAGTGCTTCTCAGATCCTGAAAACCTCATACACCCATGAAACAATTGGGATGGATCCCCTTTTATCCTCAAGCAACACTGGAGATCTGTTTGCAGATAACCTGAGACCTATAGTTTCATATCCCTCTATTTTCATCTTTTAATGCACTGCAGGCTACTGATGCAGCATTTCTAAGGGGTCAGTATGACAGGATAGTTCTTGTTCTCAGTTACCAAGAAGAAAGTAATACACAGATAGTATGGTTAGCTTAAAAATCCCCACTGCTTTCCCCCTTTTTATAATTGCATCAGTGGGTGGTATAAGTAAGCATACATACCTGAAAATTAATTGGATTATGCAGTGGAAATTATTTTGAACTTATTCACTCACCCTAATAAACAATTTTCAAATTAAGTCCAATCTCTACTAATAATTTTGCTTCCTGGGTTGAATAAATGTATAAAGCAGTCACCAACGGATAAGGAAGATTTCTACTAATTGAACTGCTTTGCAGAAATCGATCCAAATTCTTAATTTATCCACCCAGTGAAGCCACAGCTATAAACCAGACAGGGAGAGAACACCACTGTTTATATTCAGCATGTCAGGTCCCCATGACCACGTGCAAGATGCTTCTTTCCACCTTAAGCGACTTGCACTTCGCCTCAGAGACTGCAGCAAAGGAGACCACTGCTCCACAATGATAGTGATTTAAATCAATCTGCTTAACAACAGCCCCCAGAACCCCCTGTCTCTCACTGCCCAGAGAAATAGGCTGAGAGGAGCCTCAGTGTCTGTTTGAGTGGCCCACAATACCGGACATGAGTATTTCAAGGGTCTAAAGAGGAGCACTCTCCCAGTTTCAGCAGTGCTCACCATTAACACCTTGCTCCTTGCCAGCAGCCAGCCCTGCCTGCTCACCACCAAGCCAAACAGTGACCTGGCCCCCAGCTCAGCCCTGGGCCCACAAAAGAGTCAGAAACTCAGGCCTGATTTAGGAGGTGAACTGGGGCTGCCAAACAAGGTAGGGCACCAACCAGACTTGGCCCCATGTCAAACATGCAGCATGAACAAAGCTTAAGTGTCCATAAGTATCCTTTGTCCTTGACAGCTCTAACAGTGACTTTCAGTGTGTTATTACACAGGAATGATCAAGAACACTACATTTCAAAAAAGCTATTTAGAGTGCTGCATGTTAACAAGCCAGACTCTACTACAGAACCTATTTATGAATTGTGAATTACCTTATATTTAATCATGTTAAACTTCATCTCTCATTTTGCTGCCAAGCTTCTCACTCTGTTCATATCTATCTGGAGTTTCTCATCGTTCTCCAGAGCATTCACTAATTGAAATGATTCTGCTACACTGGCAAACTTTCACTTACATGCTGCCCATTGCTTCTTCAAACTGAGTAATAAATGCAAAGCAAAAGTCTCCTTTTTCTAACTTTTAGCAATTCCAAACCTCTTCTTTTCCAGATCTAAGTTACATCCCTCTGCTAAGTTTTTTAACCTTTGTCTGTCTCTGTGCTCTTCAGTCAATCCTCTCTCTTTACTTGCTTTAGATTCCTTTGAAATATTTGGTGTTACTAGTTTACCTCCACATTAAGTAATGCTTTTCCCAAAGCCAGAGTCCCTTTGTATCACATTAAACTTCAACTATCATAAATTCTTTTGAGTGAGTTTATCACACTCCTTTCTTACTTCCACCCTCCACAATCTTTGTATCAATAAATAATCGAATTTATGGGGATTGGTGATTTTTTTTTTCCTGGAATAAAAGTACTGTTTCTGAAGAGCCAGGCTTGGAGAACTGGCGAATTCCCATTGATGCATTTTTGTTCTTTTTCTGTGTTCCACAGGAAACACAGTGTTTTTCTATCTCTGTGCTAGTAAAGCCCACGTCAAATCCTTTGCATCAACTCAGGCGACAGTGAAATGTTTTGACACAGGAACAGCAAGATGTGTTGTTATGATTAAGGGAAAATCCTGAAAGCACAACCTTTTCAACCTCTCAACACAATTCAGCATGAAAAGAAAAGGTATCAAAATAACAGAATTTCATATGGAACAAAACATCAGATCTAAGATTTGGAAACTACTTTCCCTCTTTGTGCCAGGAGAAGCTGTTTCATACCTAACCCCCAACTCTGCCCCAGAGCACTAAAGCACCTTACTTGTGATCCAGGAACTCCGATAGGTCCTGGTGGCCCTTTGGGTCCTGTTGCTCCTGGTGGCCCTGGTGGGAATCATCATTTGAAACAATTTTAAGGAGACAGAAGAGAAGACCCTGCATTCCATGCATGTACCTCCTGTCATTGTTCTTTTTAGCCTCTCAATGGGTAAGAGTCTATCACAGGACTACAGCAGAAGTGCTTTATCACACACTGAATTATTGGACACCCATATCCTGATATAATAATCCCTGGACTCTAGGGAAGATAGAGCTCTAGGAGAAAAAAAAAGGTGAAAACAGGGAGAAAGAATGTCAGTCCATGCTGCATTTCCATTGCTTAAAATGACAGCTTCTGAGAAAAAAAACTAGGTCCATGACACAGCTACATCAGAGCAAGACACTACAGCTGCTGTTTCTGAAAGAGTCTTGTAGGTGGCAAGGGAAGTCCACATGGTCTCTGTGGTGTTGTCAGAAAGTTGCTGATGAACTTGAAGGAGATGGGGCAAAGCAAAGCTCTCTCTTATTCTTTGTTCTCTCCAGTGGCAATACATTCTTTAAACACTGCACCACAGGAGAGCCTGCTGGCAGGATGAGTTGAACACTGTCTAAACAGGTCAACTTGTTTTACACAGTCACTCAAGAGATTAATTTCTTTTGTAAAAATAATTATATCTCAACAGTAGCTGTTAAATTATACCTGCAAAGGGGAGACAGGGTATTTGCCTGAATTTAGCAACACTTCTCTCCGCTTTAGTTGTCACAACCCTTGAGATGAAACAATGTGGACACTACACACAAAGTACAGCTGAATCAGCCTCATTCATTAATGCACCATACAAATGCTGATGTCAAAGAATAAAAGGAATTGAAGGATAAATGAAGGGCTCTCAATGAAAGGAAAAGCCTTTTCTGCAACTAATGGGAGTTCACTCCTAAATATGCATCATACAGGGAACTGCTGATGTTTGCAAGAACACTATCATTTAAGCCACCCAAAGATTTGCCACTGAATTTTCATCCCAAATTCTGATTTCAGTTTTATGGCAAAAATTAGGAAGAGCTCAAACCAGCTCTTTTCAGCTTCAAAGTCTGCAAAGTCTGGACACATATCACAGAGCAGCTGGCCAGAGCCTGCTCAGTGGAGCTCTACAGCAACAGGACAGGATTGAAGCAGCAGTGAGAACGAATCTGCTCTCAAAGGCATTCACTGGAAAACCCATTCTTAAAGACAGTCTTTAATTAGTCCCTTCTCAAGAGGTGTCCTGCCACTATGAACAGCTGAGAAACCTGGTTAGTTCTTATCACCCTTCCCACTCCTGGACCCACTGCTCTGCTGCCCATCCAGTAAGGACCACTCTCTTTCC